GAAACAATGAAATGAAGGAGTTTGGTGAGTGAAGACTACTGTGAAGTTTTATTACAAGTTTTGTTTGCACAGTGAGCAGACCCTTTACAGTTCTAACAAAAGCGATGCGTTTTAATTGCAATTTCGTTTTAGTCCGCCTCTTTAGCAGTATCTCCGTGTGTGGGTTAACATGACTGGGGCTATTGCTCTTTCGGCCGGCATCAGCCCTAATCTTGAAGGGGTCCGCCTCGATACAAAAGGCTCGGACGCGAATGTGTGCGATCTGTATCTCCACATCTCGCATACGCATCCACATCCGCATAGGCAAATTAAATCTTAAATGAAATTTGAAACTATTCTCTCTGGTGGGCTACGCTTTCTTCTCGCAACCGCGTCATGAGGGGTGGAAAAGCATTGCCGATTATGTGCGTATTTTCTCATTGGACTTTTTGATATATGAACAATGTACAAACTGTGGGCTCATCCCTAAAAAGAATACGCTTTACTTGCAAAACGTGTAGGAAATCTTCGCGGTTTTTATTGTGTGCTTCCGACTTTGGGTTCAAGTTCTTAGCACGAAAGGGAAAGACGCGAAGAATTGGAAGAAGTTCCCGGCAAACTCAGACGTTTACAAGGGACTGACTCGTTTGAGCAAAGATTGTGTATGTATATACAAGGTTTTGGTCTTTGTAAAACCTTCAGCCGCAATAATTTAGGCAGGTTTTCTTTTCACTCACATCTCGCATTCTTACATAAGACGCGTATGTTATACTTAGATAAAATCGTGTAGACACCGAAGATACGAAAATTCTTTGCAAACAAGCAAGTAGTATATGTGGGGCCTACCAAAGGGGGATACACTTTCCTGCAATTCACATATTCCTCTGGATATTATTGCCCTATTGCCGTATGCGGTTGCGGTACGCATCGAGATATGAGCAAATATTTTCGAAAGTCGTAAATTTCGGGCGTTCAAAAGAAAAGCGAAATTTATGCCTTACATGCTTTCAAACTAATAAAATCCTTGGAATTTTCATTTCTAACGTTTAAATTAAATATTAGATTAAACATGGACTAGAATTTTTGAAGCACTATTTTAATTTGAAGTGTGTATTGTGAATACGTACATTGTGTTTACATTTCTTGCATCCCACATGTAATATTACTTCAGAGACCAGTTGATATTCAAGAATATCACATCAAGTCATGTTTTGGAGGCAATGTATTTCAATTTGCACACAGCTGCGAAGTCGACAAAGTGGCTAATAAAAGTTGCGCTCAGCCCGCTTTAAAACATGATGTTCCTCGGTGCGCTAAACCTACCCTAGGTGTAAATTGTGACGAGTGTATCATCATCAAGTCTGTCCTCACTCCTCAAACACATCACATTACGAATGTGTTTTTTTTTTCTGGTGCACTTCTCTCTAATACCTATGACAACTAGTTTTTCGTAAGCACGGACGAAAATAACCAGTGGTACTTTTTGTTTCTTGTCCTTTCTTATCTATGGATATGTATGTTGTGGATGTGCTCTCAGAAAGTTCGCATTACCGCAAGCTGGCATTACTTTTAAATATTCATCATTTCGGGCTTTCTCCCAAGTGTTCGAAGGGAGCGCACTGGAAACCAGCAAAGGAGCGCCCAAACCACGCACACCCCTCATCGAACACACTTATATAATATCATCAGTTGCGTGGAGGCACTAAAAGCATTCGGCCATTAAAAAATTAGGCCCGCGTTTTATATATTATTATTATTTTATGCTTTTTGGCTTCTTTCTAAGCCAACGCAATAGAAGTTATAATGGAAGTCGTCCAGACATTAAATTTTAAGACGTTCAAATGCAATATTGTCTTATAAAAACTGTAAATAATTTGCCAAATATCATCACTTGTGTTTACACTTACCCAACAAACACTTTGTAATTTCAATATTCTTAATAAACGTCTGCTTCGCAGACAAAATGCTAAATTGCTTCAAAAATATTGGAAAATTTCTTATCGCACCAAGAGCCAGACACAGCATTGTGGGGGTGGTAGTCACAGAAAATGCGTAGGAATATATTCGCAGACACGTCTTTACGCCCCAGTGTTCGTAATTTCGAATGAATCTATTTATTTAGGACTTCATTGCTAATTCGCATTCGAATATCGCGACATCCTCAGTGCTCTGCCGCTTTCCGCGTCTTGCCGTGCTTGCGTAATTTATTATCGCCACCGTATTGTGTACACTGCAATCAAATTTCAATATTTCATTTCGCCTCCAAGTGTCTCCCGTCAGCGCATCAGGGCGACGTCATCACTCATCAACTTCACTCAACGAGAGACACTCCATGCATTTCCCTTTCATATTCCACCGGTGACTGGATTTCTGACGCGTTAGCAACTCTTCTTGTACATTTAACATTGGATTCGTTTTGATTCAACTCGATTCACCATTTTAATTCATCAAGAGCATAAAGAATGATGAGTTATGTGAATGCTTGAGTAGCTACCGCGTTTCGTGCACGTAAGATTTCTATCTCTATTAAGAGAGTTAAATTGTCTTCTATGACTAATCAAAAATTCGAAGCCTCTGCTCCTGCTGGTGCAGTCCGCACCTCCGGTGAAAAATCGAGCTTTGAGTTAGCGCGCGTGCAGCGTTTAACCCTTTTCTTTGATATAATCATTACCCCCGGTGCGCGCCTCGTGTGCCTCCTGCGACTCGTCTCTTACATGCCCGTTTCATTATTATTTAATTATTTTCATTTCTGCGTTAGACGCGCCACGAGCAAGAAAATGAAAACATGCGGAGCGAGCGGGAAGAAACCGAGAAAGGGCGCAAGTAGAATTTTAGATTGATCATACCAGGTAAATGGGTTCCTTAATTATTAACTCTTATATTTCCTGCAAGCTGGTTCCGCCCCCAGTGTTTCTCTCTTTCAATGACTTGTCCTTTCCATGCCTCGTCATAACCTTGTGTGTTTAATTTTGTAAATACTAATTTGCGTATTGTAGATGAAAATATACATGCATTTTACGACATTCGAAGTTTCAGCAAACAATGTAATTATATAATTAATATATACTTATCAATATATTACACTGAAATTTGAAAAAAAAAATTCCAGACTTGTTGACTCGTATTGTTTGTCTAAACAATATCTAACGATCGCGATGTAGTTGCAATGAGGGTTGAAGCCCATTCGCCATCATTTTCTTTTACTAATTACAGTCATAACTCGAGCCCGTGCGGAAATGAGATTTCAATGTTTCCCGGAGGAGCTTTCGAAGTTGTCTCGCGACAGGCGCGCGCCTTCCTGCTCTAACGATGGGGACGGAGCAACAGTTAACATCGAATCTGTTAACTGAATGTAGCGTTGCGTCTTGGAGTTAGGCTCAGGAGGTACATACGGGGAGCTAGCGGGGAATACAATTAGAATATTAGATTAAGGATAAGATCTCTCTCCGACTCGGCGCGCATTTCGGAATCATGCTCAATCTGAGCCGGAATGGAAATACCGCAGTGCCTTTCCTTTAGCAATGAGTATGAGGAAGTGGGATGCAATGATGCAATGAGAATGAAGTCCAAGTACCCTCTGTGTAAACTCCTAAGTGTAAACTTGAAGATTCGTGTTGAGGAGAATAGGATGAGAGTTATTAGAAAGTTTACTTTGAATCAAGACTAAAACTGAATTGGGCATGAAGGATTGTGTTTGTATATCACCAAATGCGTTAGTGATTTAGTAGAAAATATGACTTTTCTTCTAGAACTATCTATGGAGTGATACTAAGTTGATTTGAATGCGATTTTCTCTTCACTATTCTGAGGGTGTCTGACAAAGTAAACCATGAGTTTAAACCTCACCCTAAACCAAAAAATGGAAGTGAATTCAATCGCTCAAGATATCTTGCTGACGTTGGATATTTCCGGGAGACTCCAGATCATAGCCTGAAGTGGACCTACAATGGGATTTCGAAATGTTGAAATATGCAAATCTACGTTTTGCGTTGAATCTGGAGCACGAAGGAAAAGGCCGTATATCATCCGCAGACGTCATTGTTGCCGATTTTAAATTCGTTCCCGAAGTTTTTTACCACTTTGCAACCCCATCGAACATATGCAGGATGCTCAGTTTTTGCGATTAGCATATTTATACGGTCGTATGGTTCTGGCGGTTCTGGTCGACGCTTTGTGTAATTTGCTAACTTGTGCAAATATTGCAACTCGTGCCTCGGCACGGTCGGAGATGATGAGTCCAAGATGATTCGACAAAAACTTTCCTCCGAACGGATTAGCATATTATCATTCATGCTGTTAGCACACTAGATAATTAATTAATAAAAGTTTTCTTTCGTCTTCACACAAAGGAATACGAAGCTAAAAATAACTAAAACTGGAACTCCTGCTGCTAGTAATTTACTCAGATTGCAAAATCAAATCAAATTGAATCGGAATGAAAGACGTTATTGTATTCCCTTTTAATTATTCTCTTAGTGTTTCTCTTAGTTTCGCCTCGGTTTATGAACTAATAGATTTTAGGAGTGCGGGTAGTTGGCTAAGAATACTACGCTGAATTGCAGGATAAGAATCTATTTAGCGACTCATGCACATCCCAGTCACTCTTAAGTGCTAATTCGGTGTATAACTGAATCCAATTAACCAGTGTCGGGGCTCACGAAGTCGCCACCGTTCTCTCTTAAATTAGGTGCCATTCGTACGCTAATTCACCTTCATTTTCGTTCCCGCTGGTTGGGATGCCGATGCTGGAATTAAACGTCATTCCATTCTTAGCGCATTAATTTGCAGTCGTCCGTCTCCGAGCGAAGAAATCCACCCTTCCTGGATAATATACCTCACTTTTTGTTTGGGTGACACTGACTGCAATGGTGTTAATAAACGTAAATGCAAATTTAATGGCTTACTTTATGCTAAGTTGGTTACAACGAATGTTTTTTAAAAATGTGGGTTAATGTAAAAGCAAGTCTTTAGAAACTGCAAATATCTTGTGAAACTAATTCCAAAGTTTGTTGTTGTTACAGGTTACGAGAAGAAAGAGGTGATCCTGAAAGAGACAGACCGTTTGCCCTCGACCAAAAAGCCCGCGATTTGAGTCCCAGACCCGGTAAGTAACAACTATTTTATTTATTTGAAAAAGAAAATAATTTAAAAAATGGTTTATACTTTGAAGAGAAAATTGATTACAGTCAGTTATATCTTCCACATTTCACGTTGGGGTGACTCAAATTCAAACTGAAAAACAATTGAAGCGTAGGAAAACGTGCACAATCCACATATCGCATTGCATTTGTATTCCTGTCTGTCCCGGTCATCCCGCACACATATCGCTCGTATTCCATTTCAATTTTTACATTTTCCACACGCAGTGTTTGCCTGCACGCAGGCGTTGTGAGGTTTAATTGTGATCCCCTTGCGTTTGCGTTATTTATTACCGTCCGAGATTGGTTCGTGTTACATTCCAAAGCATCGCCTGCCCGGCACCGCGACGAAATCCCCCATTTTACAGCCATTAATTAACCCTAGAGTGATAGTTAACTTTTTATTTCCCGGTTGGGACGCGCGCGCCGACAATTTTTTGCTGTAATTTCTCCACAAAATACACAGAATAACATTTACTTCTTGCACACACGCGGATGCTATGAAACGTTTTTAATTAAATACAGAATTTTATTGTCTTACAACGTGTTTTGGTCTTATTTCCGTCGTAAAATTTTGTCACGTGCTTTTTTTAATTTTAAACTGTTGGTATTTATAAATGTATTTTTTTTTTATTTTACAGCTTCACCGACAGATCACAGTCCAGTGTTAAATTTGTCTAAGAGTGGTGGTGGTAGTGCCGGATCTTTGGGTGACAACGATCATTCGGGCAGTGAAGCTGATTGTCCCGATGTGCCACCCTCACCTCGGTCGCGATCAATCTCGCCGCGTACACCTCGCCCACGCTCACCCGTTGAAGAGGATGAGGAGGAGAACATTACTGAACCTGAGGAGGACGACGAGAAAGATCAAGGTAACTAAATTTGATTATTTTTGCTAACGTTTAATATTTCTTCAATTTAATTTTAAAAATTCACTAATTTGCTAAAGTTCTCTGTCATCATTTCAATAATAAAAAATCTGGTTAGGTAGAATTCTAAAAATCCAATTAATTTCTACAAAGGTGCAACTTCAATTCAGGCCCGGGGTGTGGCCAAAAACTATTAGTTATCGAAGAGGGCTCAACTCGACGACAGAGTTCGTTTGGGTTTCAAGTTTTCAACTATTCGATCTAATTTAGCATCAAATTTGGCATCGACCTTTTTTTATATGTGGTATTTCTTGCATTGTTTCATTTATTTCATTTTGAGATTTTACAATTCATTAATAAATTATTTCTTTGTTTCCCCTGTCCGTTGGGAAAGATTAAATGAAAATATTTCTGGCATTTAAAACAAAAAATACGAAGCCATGGAAACTTCGTGTGCGGAGGAGGCATTTTAAAGAGTAATTAGTTTGATTTCGAAGATGAAGAAGACCCAAAAGCACCAGTCATTAGTGGTTTCGTAATTATTAATGATTGCCCGATGCACTGAACGACCCCAGTTTCACTCAATCACCGACAAAGGAAAGAAAGAAATGAAAAGTTCAGAAATCATTACTGAGAGTCATTCCATAAATTTATTTATCGCAGAGAAGCTCAAATTTAAATGCAGGTTATTTTTTATTTGCAGATTTAGACGATGGTGATTTGCCAATGTCGACAGCACCAGGCAGTGACAGCCAACAAGCAGCACTAAACTATTCATCGTTGGCCTCGGCGGTGGCAAACGCAAATGGAGGTATTGGTGGTGCGCCAGGGCCCGTCGTCGGTGATGCTTCGATATCCTCCACCGAGACCCTTCTTCGCAACATCCAGGGCTTGCTGAAGGTCGCCGCCGACAACGCTCGCCAGCAAGAGCGGCAGATCAATTACGAAAAAGGTACAAATAGCAACATGGTGTATCTGCTCTCACTGGCACAGTACTACATGTACTTGGCCGCCACGCAGAAATGTTAACTCTTTCCCCCACAACACATATTGCACAAACAAAATATTTACAATCACCTGATACGGGGTAATACCCTATGAAAGAGGTTGAACTTTGTATAAAGTAAAATTAATGATATACATACACGTATCGTAATGATAACAATGAGAGGCATTCTTAGAGAAACAAATATTTTGTAGTTTGTGCACTTGCGCAAACTTGGAATATGACTTAATAACGGGCAGTGGGAGGGTTCAGAATTGGGAAATATCAGTGAATCAGTAGCGCGTTAGATGTTAGCAAAAGAAGTTCCACACTTCTTCTACGTTGTACATATTTATATAGTGAAAATATACATAAATCAATTTATAAGCTTTATTTCGATCGGCTCGGGTTGGTCGTAAGACGCGATCGATCTTAAATAATTTATTAATCAATTAAAGAAACATTTAACTATTAACTATTGCGATATAATTATAAATTATGTAATTAATCAGACTCGGCGTGCACTTGCAACTTGTAGAGCTGCATTTATTAAGTGCATACACATCGCTCACGAAAGATGTGAACATATTATCATTAACATTAATTAACGAAGGAAAAATGTAGAGTAAAACACTCTTCAAGTATAAATTGAACATATTGAGAAATGGTACGAAGTACGAAATAGATTTTAATGCAAATCTATTTCACTAGGACTAGGCTATCAGTACTTAATAATATACAGGGTATGTTTTTACCTTATTGCGTGAAAATTGAACATTTGATCTATTGGTTATCTCCCTGTATAGTATTATGTACAAGAGCACACCTCAAGCGTATTTAATTACTAAACTCTATGCATACTGCGAGGCAGAGTAGCTGACTATAGCTGAAACTAATCGATCATAATTTTGATGTTTGTAAATACATATTTAATAAATAATTAATTGACTAGTAATTAATTAACTGGATGCAGAGAGCGAATGCGATCATGTGAAAATAAACTAGCGCGATAGTTGTGTGATAGGCAAACAAGACAACAAAAAATAATACAGAAACATGAAAAACGTAAAAATATTAAACTTGATAAACTTGATAACTTGATGAAAACTCTTAATAATTGATTCGTACATAAATACAAACATACACAACTAGCTAGTTAGTTGATTTTATAATTAATAAAATAATTATATAACAGACGAACAGTATACCGTTTTAATGATCAAATTTTGTGTGTGTACATAAAATGACCAATATTTTGTCTCAATTTTCAATTCTTGATTTAATTTACCGTGGTCTTGATCATGATTTGAACATCAGCAAAGCCTGGCTTTAATTGTGTATGAGTATTGAGTGTCTGAGATAAACCGTTTGTAGGCATTTATATAGTTTTAAACTTCCGTGACTTTTGTTGTGGCATTAATTAATCACCGTTTTTCTGAATTATTCTGCATCTTGTCACGTTGATGGCGCAAATCAATTGTCATTTGTCATGGTGCCATTTGAGCGCAAGTGTTATTTAATTATTAATGATCATATATACAAATAGTTGATCAAAAACATTTCGACTTGTTTAATTTATTATCTAGTATACATAGTTAGTTAAGCGTTTAAATTAATTATTAATTGATTAACAGCTGATTGAAGACGATGGATGGTCGGATGATGATGACGATAATAATGACCATCATTTATTATATTGAATTTGATTTGTCTGATGCTGTAAAACGATCAAAATTAAGATTAAATTAGTTTTCTCTCTATTTCTGGCGAAGATTTTACATGCACTGTTGTGGAATCTTGCGCGGAGAACAATTTCCTTGGCACACCAAAAATTAATTGACTTATGCATTAAAAAAATCTTAATTAATGAATTAATTATCAAGACTGCTAAATGCAATTATGAGCAGTGAGTTCTACTGATATTTATAAATGAATGATAACAAGAACAATCCCTACCTATATTTCTCAAATATTATTAATATTGATGATGATGAGAAAATTTTAGACTTAGGTTTAATTATGTGTGATGTACATGTTATAAATATACTATATATATTCGAAAAATTGAAAATAAAAATAAAATTTGAAGAAAACAAATCGAATTCGTGTCTTTTTTATTTCCAAATTCACCAGATCCCAAGTTAATCAATGTGTAAGTAGCGTGCTAAATTTTTGTTCTGAAATTATTAAAACGTGCAAGATTTGAGTTTTAGGTAACAATTGGCTCAGTGTCTGTCGCTCGGTGACTCGAATTATGAAAATACATCGCGCACACGGAAAAGTGTCGTGATCTGATGATGAGAGATGATGAGAAAATAGGTAGGTGACAAATTTTATTCATTCAACTCGACACCGTTGTGCATTCGCGTGTTTTATGAAATAATTAATTCATTAATAAAGGTAACGAAGTCTTTGTCTGCATAAATGGCGAGTGGGGTATCATAATGATATTTATTTTGAGAACCTTGCTGCAGCCGTTCGAAGTAATTATTGTGCGTTGTGCGAATGAGGAGTGACGCCGAACAAGAAAAAGGCAACTTTGTTTAAAGTTTAATCAACTTGTTGCTAGAGGACGATCGTACATTTTTACAATTTATTGCGGTGTTCGTGTGGAATTCCAACTGTCGTGATTCTCACATCGTACATCCCAACTCTCAAAGTCGAGAGTTGAAATTGTATGATGTCAACCGTTTTATTTGCGAGTTTGCATTAATTGCTGGGAGCTTTGTTGGACTGAATCGCAGGCTGCAGCTAATTAATATTCCAGTAGGCGTTGTTTTATAATAATCTTAATCATGCCGAAGCGAAAACTTAATAACAACTTAATAAAGATACAAAGTCACAATAGCAGCAGGAATCAGAACATAAAATTTATATTTTCATTCAATCTTCATGTAAATAGTAGGTACCTTCATAATACTTGACTTTGATTCAATTATAAATAATTTGAGCGTTCTTCTCATATAAGCCTATGTGTGTTTTTTTTTTTCTTATTTATGAATCGTTTGTATTAAATTTATGTCTTCTCTGAATTTATTTGGTGTAAAGCTACAAAACGATGCACTATATTTCACGTATTTAATTACGCTCGTTTTTAAATTGGAAACTTTTATGCGCCCCGCCGCATAAGCATAGTTTTATCGGCATTTAGTTTTATTCGCGTTCCGGCCGATTTTGTTTTATTGTCGGGGTTGGACGCCGCAGTGGAGCCAAAACAATAAAATTGCTAAATCTCATCGAAACACATTGGAAATATAATAAACAAATTTATTTGCGAAACGCGCTACGGCCGTGTGCCGCCTGGACTAATTCACGCAAGGGATTCGAAATATTATTATGATTTTATGTGCCTCCTTTTAATGACCGCAATAAATTTTGGCGCCATTTTAAATCCTATTGGGATCTGCATCTGTTTGCGAACCATTTCACAACGCACCGCAAACATTTGCAATTTAATAATGCGCAATAAATAAAATAAATTTTTACATTTTTCAACATCGCGTTATAGTTTTTTTTTTTAGTTATTGCTACATACTTCTGTAGTGAAACACATTTTATAAATAATTCAAAGCGTAAAATGCTTCACTCTGTATGATTTCACGGTTTTTACACTGGTTGAACATTTGTTTGAGTTGTTCTTCCTTTGCACGCTTTCATATATTATATTGTTTGTTAAAATAATTTTATTTCTTGTTATTATTTATAACCCTGAATAAGTCTTGGCTTCGCCGAGTAAGTTGTAAATGTGGGTGGACAAGATCTTAACTAGCCTACCTCTTGTTTCGATACATCTTTGCGCCGGGCATTTTTCTGACTTCGCTATAAATAAGTGAAGTCTGCGTGAAGAAATACACTCTAGCCCAGGTTATACCAAGCCGACAATTTAGCCGATGGCGAAATGAAATTATTTCGCTACCGATCTGTCTCGCGTTTCATTTCGTTCTTAGTTAGAGCTGCGTGCATGTGTTATGTATGCCTCTACGGTCGACAGTCTGATATGTATTTATTATGAAAACGGCTCCCTGATTTCATATTCATTAAGTTGCACATACGTCACATACGCCCAGCGGACACACGACAAGAGCAATTAATTCATCAGCTGCCCAAGTAACAAACAGCAATAAACCTGAGCAAACAATCCTGGTAATAAGTATACTGCTTCAATATGTAGGTTGAAATCTTGGCACGGAAAAAAATGTTTACCAATTGATAGTCAGTACCTCGGTACTGACATCGATTGAAATAAAATTGTCTCTTGAATGTCGTAGCGATTCGGGCCAGAAACTCTGCGACTTTGTGGTCAGCTTATTACGTGCGACTCGTTTACATGTCGTTTATATCGTCGATATTCAAACGATATGAATGTTACTACAAAAAGATCGTATCGATGTTGTTTGCTTGCCGTTCGTTCGCTGCTCGCCGAACGCCAGTCCCTGTCGTGCTTATAGACTCGAGTTGAGCATCGCCATCACATCGCCACCGTCATTTTTATGCTTTGATTATGGTCACCCGGCAGCCCAACTGCTCAACACAGCCAAGCTAAACACTTTTATGAGATCAATCGGTGTTGGCAGCAAGTGGTTTTCAACGTCGGTACTTACAAGTAGAGATTGTTCAAGTTAAATTACAAAATAAATTCAAACAACATGTAAAACCGGCAAGTATTCTACTCATTTTTGAAGCTAGATATTTCTTAAGCAAATGTATAAATGTATAAGTATAAAGTGCAGAAGGAATTCTAGTGCAGAAAAACAGTAACTGTAGCTTACCAAATCGCAATTGAACATGCAAAACGCGAATTCAACTAGTAATAGCATTGGGAGTAGTATTACATTATCCGTCGATATCGATCAGATATTGATATCTAATAATATGGAAATTATAGACTTGAAAATGTAGCTATAAAACGGAAATTACTCATAGAACAACTGAAAAGTGTACCAAGACACATCATAGGCGATTGTCAA